TACCTCTCTTCCAACTGCAAATGCTGCACGATACTAAGCTTACAGGTAACACAACATCAGGAGACCTGCATTATTCTGCACGTTTAAAGGATGCCTATGACTTTCTGCATGTATATATTATTTACTAGACTGTTTTTAAATTGTTGTATTAATCCCTCTACTCTGGGAACAGTTTAATTTTGAGTGTGCTAAAGTATCGAGCATTTGTAGTGTAAAGAGCAGGTTGAAATAAATCAACTGTTAGTCCAAATTTCATAGCAAAAAAAAGGAAAAAAAAAGGAAGAAACAAAAAAAAAACAAATCCCAACTTGCTTAGTAGGCAGAATTCTTTTTAAAGAAGATAAACTAGTAAATTGCAATGCCATTGACTGGTTGTTCATTTCAGTGAAATATATTCTTATCTTCCTATGCACAACTAAAAATGTACCAACTTGAAAAAGAAAACCTAATAAACAGTGTGGTAGTGAAATGCTGAGTTCTCAAATAGGTCTCGGCAAAATTTTCAAGGTGCTTTATATCAGACATACACGAAAACAGCCTACTTAAAAGCTAGAATGTGACTGCTGTGATTCTAATGCTGCATTGCTGATTCTCCTTGTACTACTGTGCTAGCTACTGCTACACTCTGATTTGCTCTCTATCAGCTGCACTAGGTTTTTGTCACGAGCTGCAGAAATTCTTACTTCCTCTGCTCTCAGATTTCCTTACAACTATTAGAGTTACTAATTGTTAAGCTTATTTCAAATTTACCTTCCAATGCTATAGAGACAAAGCTTACTCTTTACTGAAACCCAAATCAACTCCTGAAATACATATTAAGCAACCGTAAGCTATATCTGAGAGTCCCTCAGAAGTCAAAGCTGTACTGCACATCAAATATTTAACCACTGTTCCAAATCAAGTCGCACAAAATCTTACGACACAAGGTTAAACTTGGGCTTTGTTTCTGTGAGGTTTTTTGTTTAGTTTGCGTTAATTTTTTTTAGTTAACTATTTTAGCTGTCATAAATATTTCAAGGGTGGACAAGACTTTGAAGCAGGTGAGTGCCAGTTTTAAAGAACAAGAAAAGCTGCTTGCAGAAGTGTTGAATAGGTATTAGCTTTCACATGTGACCTTCGGCCTAACAATCCAAATACTGTCACCGCAGTTAGAGGTTGTTTTCTTAATTCAATGTCATCATCTTTAGGATAAGCAGGATCTCTGGTGATATGTGCTTTTGTGTTTGGGTTGGGCTTTTACTGAGGTTGTTTTGCTTTATTTTTGGTTTTGTTTTTTTAATCACAATACAGTGTAAATGAGTATAAACCTGCAAAGAGTTTGCAGAATAATGGATGAGATACAAAAAGCATAGAAGTGGGATTTGGAGCAAGAAAATAAATTTATAACAGCTATTTTATCTCAGTCTATTCTTCCCTTCAGGACACTAGATGCAAACTGTGCCCTAGCATGAAAATCTGCTAGAAGACCTGAGAGGAAGCTGAAGTTTTTACAGTGGACTACAACTACGAATGCCAAGAAAAGACATTGCAAGCCTACGAGCGATTCAACTCTCTACTTAAACATGGTCACTTAGAAGAGCAAGAGGCTGCAAAAATATGGAAAACTACTTCTAACATCAGTGCCATCCCAAAACAATTACCCATGCCGAGATTTAAGACACTGTGCAGGTAAATTGCATTGCAAAGTTCAGTTAGCATAGTAAGTTTATTTTCTACCATCAGTTTATCAGAACTGTTGTCCTTCCAAAGAACTGTCAGCCAGTTTCACCTAATAACAGCAAGAAAAAGCAGCAAAATACTTCTTAGGTTCATCTGACAGGCAGTCAAGCAACTCTGTGTGTACCTGCTCAGAGCACATACTTCTTTATGTACCCATATGAACATACAATGCTATGGAATGTAAAGAAGTATGTATTTTTGGCAGGCCAGGAACGACCAGTAAGAGGAAACTAAACAGCTGCTGGAAGAAACAGGTTTCTCTCTTGTTTGAATGACATTCATGTGACAAATTGGCTTGCTCAGGGTCAGCTGGTGTTGCCAAAATAACTCATACTTGTTAGTAACAAATCACAAAACATTAAATTAAGTGACTATAAAAGTGGGTAGGAAGAACTGTTAACAGCTGATAAGCAGAATATTAGTTGCAAGCAGAATTCAAAGCAAGGCTGGAAATGAAACCTTGAAACACACCTATTAAGACTGCAGCATAGTTGCAAAATTCATCATTACCAGTACTCCTCACTTCATAGATCTTAAACTAAACTTAAAAGCCTAGTTAGCAAAATGCATGTCATAAAAACAAGCCACTGTTCTAGTAATCGCAGCCTGTTCTGTGTACTTCAGATGGTAGTACTTAAATTTGCATCTACCATAGAACATTTAACCCACAGGTTGCAACTAACACAAGTATTAACAGCTAAGGAATTACAGGTCTGATTTACAAAAATTGACAGCCAAAACAATTGAGTATAACTTCTGCAATTTAGTAAGACTTAAGTTAGAATTTTCTCCTAATCAGCACTTATTATGCTCACTGAGCTTTTCGATACAAAGTGCAGTGTCAGGTTTATGCACAGAAAGTGACAATACAGAGATTTCTAGGCCAGAGCTGCTAGTCAGCAGATTAAAGCTATTGACAGATTCCTAAATGAAAACACAAATGACAACTACAGCCTAAAAGGTAAGTTATCTTAAATACTATTTTGAAATTAGCTGAATTTACTTTAAATCCAAATTTAAGAAAATTGGCCACAAAGAAAACATTGTAGCATTCAAAAAATTTAAAGAACGACAGGAGAAATAGTTCTGCAATAGTTCCAAGTTCTAAAAGTGATATTAATTAAAATACTGATGCATACCATCTCTAAGTAAAGATACTCAACATCAAATCCAGGAACAAGGGAAAAATATGAGGAAAGAACTCCTCACTCATCAATCCAGCCATTTCTATTCATGACAGCATCCTTCTAAAAGCAGTTATTAAATAGGATATGTCCATGATAAGTAGGCACATTTGGCCCAGATTAAAGATTCTAACTGTAGCCTTTTGCTTACTAAAATGTCTGTGAGGAAAAAAACTCCAACCAAAACAAACAAAAATATAAACAAAGGCAACACATGATTTTTAGATGCAGAACTTATTTTTAAATACTCACATAATTCTGAAACAGCTAATAATATAAACAGCCTGATATTTTTAACACCTGAGACTACATATTAATATGTATATATATATATATATATATATATATATATAAAAGCAGAAGTATTATCTTACCTGCTTAAGAAAGCAAAGTTTCAGTATTTTTTTTAAAGCTTTCTCTTACGAGCAGATATTTTGACACGAAGGCTACAGTGTCTTAACATCTAAATCAAAACCTGGTTTATAGTGGTAACCAAATCAAATTGCAGTAGCTTTTCTGAATAATGCAAGGCTACTAAAGTCAATCATGCTCATAGAAGCAATTTGGTATAACTAGCAGTTTCATTGAGGGGTTAATTGCTAAGCATTTTCTTCTTTTCCTGATGATTTCCTGTGCTCAGCACCAATTGATCTAGCTTCTACTATAAAATAGGACAGATTTTTTTTAACAGCTTTAATTTATCGGAAAGGTTTTTGGTAACAATTTATCATACCGTGTTCTCCCTTGTATAACATTGCAATGTTATTCTGACACAAAATGACAGTTCAGAGTGATACAAAAGTTAAAATTATATGTTGACATTGCTTCCTGCTAGTTCATGTTAGCATATCTCTAAGAATACATACCCAGTCACTCTAAAATGTCACATCCATCACTTAGATCAGCTGTTCAATTTTAACCGAGCACACGTTGAACTTTGGGCATCTGCTGACACAGTTGTAACTCAAACATTTCAACTGTGTGACTGACAGGGATAACAGATGCTGACATTATCAAATGCTACACGGCTTTTTTCCACAGCCGTTTTTTGTCCCGATATGGCCAGTACATGAAACTGTATTGCCATCCAAAAGCGCACTTGAGCAGCTGTATCTGTAGAACAGTTCCTCTATAACTAGTAAAAATAGAAACTCATTTTATAGCCATCTTGATGCTTAAGTCCAAGTGACACACCTGCTACATTTCTATTAAGATACATAGTGTTGGGGAATATATTTACATAAATCTTCTCACCATCATCAGACTATGCAACAAACACATGTGAACTATCCTTGACATACTCATTACTAGAGAATGGTTTGAACCAAGGTTGTCCCCTAATTTCCACTGCAGTCAAAGCTCAGATAGAATTCAGTGTGACATAAAAAAAGCTATGTGAGCTCGCACAATTGTATTAATGACCTCAGTTTAGAAGAAATCAGATGCAACCCCAGAAAAATCTTTAAAAGCTGTGTTTTTCTGGCATTAAACATTTTTACATATCCAATCAAAGTAAAAAAAATTTAAATTTATCCTGCTATATTATATAACCATTCCTAAAAAATTAATACTAACCAGAGATATAGCAATGGAATTGAAAGCACTTGGCATTTATATTTGTGCTAACCAACTACAGCATAAAAGCAGTTGCAAAAAGGAAACCTGCCAGAAAACGAATGAGGGGAAGGGAGGGAGGAAGGTGACAAGGAAACTGAAACATGAAACATTCTTCTCCAGTAAAGTTTAACATAAAGAAGTAAGGGAGTTCTATTTCTGATAGAAACTTTAAGACTACAGTTTCTAATCTATTCTAAAATTTGATTACACTACACAGGAAAAAGTTTAAACTGTAACTATGATTTGAGACTCATCCCAAGATCCTCAAGGAAATACTCAAGGACAGAACAAACCTGTACAGGCCTTTCTGGTATACAGCTTTTAACTGTGCCCTCTCCAAATTAGGAAAGAGTTAAAAATTTGCATTGACAAGAAACAAACTGCATAACATAGAAGAAAAGCCGCGTGTTCTTTGTGCACTGCTCATGTGCTTTAAAATGTGTTACTGAACTATAAGCTTCCTGCACTCCAATGCTTTGCTAAAGCTGGTAAAATGGAACCAAATCACCTCTTCAATGGATTTGGTCCCCTTCAACCAGCTGTAGCTATGCATTGATCACTACAGGATTTCTCATGTTGTTACAACTGGACACGAAACCTGCTCAGAGCAATTATGTAGTCCTCTCTTCAGTCCAGCTCAACTTTTTAGGCAGCCTGAAAATGGAAGGTAACTAGGACTGTAGGAGATTCTCAAGTTTGTATTTGTAAATAAATAGCTACTGGTGTTTAACATTTTGTCCATATGCAGTAAAAATCATCTCTTACAACATTTATAAAGATAGGTGAGCAGTGAAATAAACATTTTCCAATGATTTATTGTCTCCTGTATTCTTCCTCAAGTCGGGTGCCCTTTCTAGCAGAACTGAACAAAAAAACTCAAAACCCAACAATCATGGACAGTACTGGCAGGGTAGGTTTACTTTCTGGGCACCCATCTCCCCTTTTTTATGTTGTACAAGGAAGGAAACTCCACAGGCAGGAACTGTATTTGCCATTTTGTATCTGTTGGTCACATTATTTACTATTTAATGATAATAAATTTGTTTCTGACCTCAACAGCTACAGGCTAACCTGCCACCTAATAACAGGTCTGCTCATGGAGATTATATTCTTCCTGCAAACCAACTTGAACAGAAGTATTCTTCCAAAGCATTTTCTGACATAATACCTTAATAAGAGGTTTTAAAAACAGACTCTCTTTGCACTCAACTTCAACTAAGTTTAACCGACATTTACTGTCAGAACTGCAAATACAAAGGCAAAAAACCACTTTGACCGGTTTAGAAAATAATTGTACCACTCTCATTTCCTCAGAACTTGTCTCTCTGAGGACCTCCATGACAACTCATCCCGTGAGTCCTGGAGACACTTCCTGAAGACACTCATTAACACTATGTGGAAGTGAGAAACCCCACCTCTCAATTAAATTGCTACAGTTAGAAATTTCACTGCCAACCCATTCAAACCATCTGCATATCTAAAAACAAACTGAGATCTCCTAAATAATGAGAAAACCATGGGGAAAAATTACAATTCTATTTTAAACCACAATCTCCTACTTGCCAGTTTATGAACATAAAGATGACATACTTCTTGCTATTGGAAAGCAACACCTGAAATCTGTATCTTACTCCAGGACTTTGATTCTTTGATTTAAAGTCCAGCAGAATTTACTGCTCTGAAGAACTAATCATACAAGTGTGTGAAGTCAGGTCAGCTCCAAGAGCAGCCTCTATTTAAGATGCTAGCTGCAGAGTGAATAAAGCTCTCTTCACAAGACACAATGCAAATCTAAAACTAACTGGGGCAACGGATATAAAATACGCCTACACTTCACAGTCATGTCTTCAGCTCAAAAATCTGAAGTCACAGGTATGCGAATAGATCAAACATAAGCAAGAGATGGTAACATGGCAAAAATAACCAATCTGTACAGTATTTTCAATTTTTACTCTCCTTTTTTCTCTCTGAAAAAAATCTCATTAACACTGAAGAGGCAAAGTCTGCCAAGCTTTGAGGCTCACAGTACTTTGAAAAAAGTCCATAATAAATGCACTTTTAATATGACTGACTCCATTAAAAATCACAAACAAGAATCTATGTATTAAATAAAAGTTTAACTTCCCTATACTTAATTTAAAATTTCTTTTTAGCTCTATCTCCCATGCACAAGTTTAATGCTACCTACAGCATAAACCAACACTCATTCTATATTTCAACATTATACATCAGCACAAAAACCAGAAGTTCTTTCTGTACCAATTCACAAGGTACAAAGAGAAGCAAAACATGAAAAGGAGGCATATTCTACTAAGAATAGGATGCTCTCTGAAACACACTGTACCTTGACTTGTGGAAAACACAGCCAAACTGCCATGGAAGATAAAGTGCTGAGAAAATCTAAGCTATTTGACATAAATTGCTATCTTTCTTATAATATTTATCCAATATTCCAACATTTAAAATAATGTATTTGTTTCCATATGAAAAATTAAAAACTTTGGAATGTTCTTCTCAGCATAATTTGTAGGTTTTATCTTCCTATTATTTATAAAGGTCAGAATTCAAGAAACAAGAAGTTTTGCTCTGAAAAAGAATTTGGTTCCAAACACCTATTTGACATTTAGAAAAAATACTACAGAAATCAACCTCCTTTTATTGTGGTACTCATGCACTTACAACATGCATTTATTTTATTATCCTCAACAAGGAAGATGTATGTAAACTTCATTAATTCTTGCATACAAAGCATGTTTTTAATTTTTAGAATTATAGCTATGCACACAAATGCATACACATCTATACACACACATGAATACGTGTTTAAGTTTTATAAAATAATATAGAAATTACATAATATAGCTATATATTTGAATATAAGGAGAAATTAATGCATTGTATTAATAAAAGGCACCACAACTCAAAGCCGCAAAAACTCCAGTTTAGGTGGAGCAGAGAAGCTTAGATGAGGAAAGATAGGTCTTAAAGAAAGGTTTCAAGCAGAACCTATTACATACTGTCTGTGACCCACAGCAGTAACAAGCTAAAGATGAGGGGGTTATTTTTAACAGTGTTTTAAATAGCTTGTGATTAGTGTATTTAACAGATCAGTAATAGCCATTGTTCTATATCAAATTAGAAAAACAAAGTGGCAAGTACAAAAACCTTGGTTTCATTCAGAAACAGGCAAGTGGCAGAACTACAAAATCAACAACGAAACAAAAGAGTATCACTGAAGTCTTGAGGGATAGAAAACTCAACTCCTAGATGAATGAAACTGTTATGACAATTTTTGGCCGGGGGAGAAATCAAAATAGATTTATTTTGGTTTCATTTTCAATTATTTCTTCCCAGGCTGATGGGTAAAAAATCTAATGCTGTGAGCATTAGATATTTTAGATGAAACTACTCTTTCTGTGATGGGAGACAAAATTCCTTTTCTACATGCTTGAGCAGTGCTCACATTGAACTGCAACCAAAGAATAATATTAAGTATCTGTTTTAGATACAAGTGAAACCCCATGTGTGGAGGGAACCCACACAGCATTCAAATCACTAATACTGGAAACATTTGCCAATACTTCCAATAAAAACTTCTGTAAAAGAGGAAGGATTCTGGTTAAAACTTCACTAAACTCCACATTCTACCAACCATCAAACTAACCCAGTCTGAACTACAACTTGGATCCCTCCATTAAATGAATGGTCTGCCACTTCTAAAATATTCACCCATGGAAAAATCTCCAGCACATGCCTATGAAAAACATTTCCCCCCCCCATACAATTTCCCTGCATCTCATCTTGAGATTATGGTCACACAGACCAACTACCACAAGAGCTGAGGAAAAGCACTGCAGAAAAAAAACCCAACCAAACAAAAAAATACCCCAACAGGGTAACTGAGACAAGAAACAGTGCTCCTGGCTAATGCTGTTATGTAACTAGGAAGAATTCACTTTAGAGGAAGAAGTTACCAAATGAGACTTGGAAGAACTGTCTTCTGAATGCCAAAAGTAAGCTCCCTTCACTTGGTCCTTGACATGTTCTCTTAAAGACCTTTTACGAGTACTGTAGAAAACAGTAAACATTTATTCTCCTATCAACACTTCCAACCACTGCTTTTACTCATGAAATTATTCCATTCCATAAACACAGATGATTATGTTTGCTTTTTAACCATCAGACTTCATAGTTATGCTTTGAGACTAATCTAGATTTTAATCCCATGTATTAATAATGGGTGAAATTTATACAAATTTACAGCATTATTTCTCCAACTTCTCTCAACTGAAAAGCTGAATTTACTAGTAAACAGGGAAACACACATTTCTTCTTTTGTGAAGAATACTATACTAAACACTCCAGCCGAGGATAAAGTATTATTCAAGTCTTGTTAGCATGACAGCTTTGACAAATACCATTTATCCACAATGTAATAAGGAATCAGCAACACAACTTTTCTTTGAAGTTCCATCTATGCAGTTGTTTTCAAAAGCTATCTTAACTGAAAATTGAATGTAGACATATAGAATGCAGCTAGTATAAAACAAATCGTGCCTTAAAATGAATTTTTTTAGTTGAGCTGGTATATAAAAGATGAAATACAAAATTCCTTCTAGATATACGTCTGTGAAAATGTAATTAACTGTTTCAAATACTGACAAATATAATCTAATGCAACAATCCAGAGAGTGCTTTAGAACTGTAATGGTTTACTTAATACTTATCCACAAATAAGTATTTGTAAAAAACTCAAATACCTTTATCAACTCAAATACTCAAGAAGGGAAACATAGCAGTATTTACTATTTTCATCCTATGTCAAAATACCATCTTCAAGATCTTACTAACTTATTCATCAAAACTTTTATTGGCAAAATATTATAGCCATGACAGAAAATTTATCAGAAATTTGGAGTTATCTGGATACAGCATTAAACTGAGCAGACTTTTAGCTTCATTCTAGTAAGGGCTTCCAAGAATTAGAAAGAGGCATAGCTAAGCAACATCAACATTTAAGAAATACAACTACATGCAGATTTAAGACTCCTCTGAAAGAATACCTTAGCTCTACCCTTACGTGTACTTGTTTTCCTTTTTACATACAATAAAAAACAATCTTAAAAAAGAAATCTGTACCTAGGGTTTCCTCTTAGGGCAGCATGGTGAAGAGCATTAAACCCATTGTTGTTGGTGATAGTAACATCTGCTCCAGCTTCTAAGAGTACAGCAAGGATATCATCACGCTTTTTACTTATTGCATCATGAAGTGGAGTGTCTCCTTCAGAATCCTAAAACCAGAAACAGTTTGCGTCAGTTTTTGTATGCATCCACATTAAAAAGATGCTACAATATCTCTAGGAAAATGACTTACAATTTATGAATAACAGGACAACAAAAACTAATGTAACAGAGGGAAGACTAGTCAGGTGGAATGAGGCATGGAATTTTGAGTAATAAATGCTAAGTTTAGCCAGCAATTAACTATGTAGAATACAATACCAAAATAGCAGTGTGACATAAAAGCATAGGCAAATCAAAATAAAATGCAGTCCAGGTACTAAAAGCAGGCATATCTATTGTTTTAACTGAAGCATATAATTTTCCATGAAGCAAAAGCCAATGTCATAGAAGCAGTATTAAGCTTTTAACTTGTTATGGCATATTACACAATGTACATGGTAATACTTGACAGCACAATTGATCAGGCAAAGAATTTATACTTCTAGCTTGATGCTTTAGTTTTCAAATATCCCGTATAAGGAAAAAATACTCCTTACTCCTAGAAGCATTTTGTATATTACTTATGCAAGGACTCAAAAGCCTGGTCTGAAGAGAAATGCTCTAGACTAACAGTGAGAAAACCACATCCATTTAAGCTTATTTGCAGCTACATAGGCAAAATCTCCAGATTTATGCTTCCAGTAGAATTCTTGCACCACATAAGTCAGGAAGTCTTTTGTCACCAACATTGACTCAACTGCAAGCTAACACAGAAACCGAACATTTTAGCAATACACTAGTACGAAAACAGATCTCTACAGTGAGAATCAAAACTTGCTGAACAAAAAGTGCCAAAATATGGAAACACTTGAACCACTGTGAACCAATTTGCCAGAACTAAATCATGTAGCTTGGATTTGGTTTAAATGATCATATTTCCTGAATTTCCTATTTACAGACTAACATATGTTACTGTTTACACAGTGAAGTGGCCACAGCAGTAGAGCGCTGGCCAATTAAATTCCAGTCATGCCTCAGTCTTACTCCCCTGTGCTCTCATTGACAAAATCAATCACCTACTCACATTTGCATATCGCAGTATCTCAGCACATATGCTGAATCTGGAAGTTCATTTTTTTTCAATAGCCAATTGTATTTTCCAGATGGAGCATCCTTACACCATTTTATTGACCTTTTCAACTGAAACAAAATTCTGTAATTTGAACTCAGGCAAATCCACTTTGGCTACCCATAGTTCCTATGTGACTTACAGTCACCCTTTACTGGTCTCGATACATCAGACTCCTTATTATACCTACTGTTCAACAAACACTAAACAGGATCTGGATTGATATAACAGCTCAACCTCAGCAAGATCAAGACAATACCTTAAGAGTCAGGTAGAAGGAGATAAATAAACAATCACTACGCTCATTAATTTCAAAAAAGCTTTTGCTCATCTTCTTTTATGAGGACACAGTTAGAAAAAAATCTGATTATTGACATGGCAAAGCAAAAAGCAATGTCTCGTTACTGCATATCTTGATTCGCCCAGGCCACTACAGCTCTTTCTGATGCAAATCTCTTCAAACTTACCCATTCTCATTGGTTTTACTAATGCAGTTCATGCAGCTGCATTCAGCAGTGTGGATACCTGCTTATCTGATTATCACATTTTCCCTCTACCGTCTAAACAGGACATTGCACTTAAGCTACTGCATCCATCACCTTCACTACAGACGAAATTCCCTGTGAAATTATGGTACTTGAGATCCTACACATGAGGGCTTTCTACATAAAAAGCTGAATATTTGAAATATCTGACTAAGTAGTTCTATCAATGATAGATCTATTTTAGGAAAAAAATAAAAGGTTTCTTTTAACAAAACATTCCACAGTATCATCAGCGTCTAAACTGTAGCTTGCAGAAGTACAGTGTTGTGTTTCAATATAAGAATAATTAATCAAGAAGGAAAGTTAACAATTAGAAATAACTACAGACTGTAAAAATACCAATTAGTATCAACTACAGAATAAACTAGGTGTCAATCTAGCTGTCAAGAAAACAAACAGACTTAACAGCATTTCTGTTACAGTTGATCACATGGTGGGGGTAAAGTTTGAGACAGACAACTTTATAATATTGTTCCTTTCAATCCCATTTACCACAATTTTTCTATCACCCACATGCAGCAAATCATACAATTCAGTAGCTCAGAAGTGACCATACATTAAAATGTCTCCCTACCTGGAGACTGGGGTGGCAGCCGAAGTCCAGTAAAGTCTTGACAACTTGCAGATGACCTTTGTTGACAGCAATATGGAGTGGAGTCTGCCTGCGCTTGTTGCGAGCATTCAAATCTGCACTGCCTCGGTGCAAAACCTCAATCACAGCACCCTCGTCACCGAAGGCTGCATGATGGACAGCCCTGTCTCCATCCTTGTCCTGAAGTGGAAACATTCATTTAACCTGGTATATTTCACATTTCCTTTGCATTTAAAAAAGATTATTTCAACTAACAACTGTCCATATTTGATGTAGTAAGAAAAATGAGACTACCATTAAAATACCTAATTAAATAATTTGTCAAAGTGCAGCAATAGAGGATGAAGAATCACTTCATATATAAACACACATGTTCTACAACATATGATATCATACAGCATATACAACTATTGCCCTGAATCTTCGTGTGGCTTGTTCACCAAACTCAAATGGCTTCATTTGGGTTTCTACTACAAAACAACCACTGTCAAGAAAAAACCCAAAACAAAAGTACCAAAAAACCCACAAAAGAAATTCAGTGCCCAAACAGTATTACATTTAATATCCCAGGGCGGTTCCTCCTGTAACCTGGGAAGTGTTACAGATTCCAAATCATAGTGCAAGACATGAGTAGTTCCTTGTTCATTCAACTAAGTTATTATTTATTAGGATTTATTATATGTCTTGGTTTTCACTTAATAAACCTTTTTTGAAGGACATTTGTGACTGATGCTGACATTAACTAGAAGTTCTGATTCTGTGTTGATGATTCACAGCATTAAAACTCTGATTCAGTTTGTTTCAGTTTCATTTAGTTTTAATTGAGAATTAAAATGTGAAAGTTAAATGTGTCAGTTTAGGCTATTTTAACATTAATAGAAGTTGACTGTACAACATGAAACATTTTAAAATATCAGTCAAGTGATTTCAGCATTAATGACAGCATACAAAAGATAGAAGTAAAAAGGAAGTTATACATGATGAAATAGCTTCCATATGCTAGTTTCTGAGTATTTCTGCACAGTTTAATGTAAATATGCATTTGTAGGATTCAATTTTGAAAACAGAAACACTGAAAATTGTAAAATAAAATCATGACTGATCAAGGGCTCACTGTCTCTCCTTAGTTAACTTGGGTTTCTCATCAATTTGCTTCTTCAGCAACAACTTTCAAAAATATTTTTTATTATATATGGTACATTTCTAATATATTTTAGACTAACGCAAAAATTAATAGATCTTAACATAAACTGTATTTGCACAATGAGACTAGTTACAGCATTTAAAATGATGGAAGAAGACTTATCCCCTAATTATCAAATGTATCTTTTTGAAAATATGGATATGGTTTTCAAGATAAAAGGGCACTACACAGCAGTTTCAACAGCCTTTAGAAAAGATACTTTTATTCCTTCCAAATCAACTCACGCTACCAAGTTGCCTTCTCAGATTGCAGGATTCTTACTCAGGCTCATCTAGCACAAAGCAACCATCAAAAGAAGCCAAATCTTGTCCATTTGGAAGGGGAAAGGATCAGAAAGGGGACCTTCTGTATATTTTTCATCTGGTTATAAGGATCATTATGAGGCAAACCTTATCAAGAGTGTGCCAGTAGTCCTAAACTGCTACAAGACTTGTATTTACAGAGCACTTGGTTTCACAGAGGTATGGTAATTTGTCTTTTCGTATTTGCAGTCTGAAAAGTATACCAAGATATTTATGGATGAAACTCCATAATTACTGAATATTTTAGTTTTACCATATTTCAATTTTATACACAACCACCTGATTTTATCAAGTCTTAATGTATAGAATTCCTGTTTTAATGAGCAGAGGTCCAAATCATGTGGGCCCTTTTTTTAGCTCAGCATCAAAACAAATAATCTCAGGAACTAAATCCTACCCAATAGCAATAATTCATCTACAAAAAGCTAGCAGCTAGTAAATAATCTGTCTTTAAGAATCACATTTACACTTAGATAAAAATCTAAATATTAAAAGTACTACATTTCTATACATGCCAACAGTATAATACTGTTAATAACTTAGAACCATTAATGTCTTCAGCCTAGAAGGTTACATATTCTTACTATGCAATAGCTACATCAGTTTTTTTGAGCTATGCCTATAGCCAACTGTTCTCTGACTAAACAGAGGCCACTTGAAGACTGCATTAAGACATCAGAGAAAAACACAGGAGACAACAATAAGGATATTCCCATAAAATGTCATAATGAACTTATATACTCTGAAGAAATGACTGTAAGTGTAAAAACCTCCAACTTAGCTATAAAGTAAGGAAAGTAAGGATTTTTATCCATTGCTTCCATGCCTCAGGCCACAACAGTGAAGTAAATGGACTACATTTTTGCTATGTGCTTAATGGGATGGCTCTGCTGAACCTTTGCATTTTATAAACAATTAAGTTTATAAATATTATATATATATAAGTATTGATAAACAGCTTACATTTTTAAAGTCTGAAAGATGTAACTACAAATCTAATAATATTATTAAAATTATTAATATTATAACCAAGGCAATTATATAATCAAATGGAAATACCATCTTCACTTCAGCAACACAGTTATGTGAAGATGGCTTTAAAAGTCAAGTAAAATCCCTGACAATTTTTTTATGCTAGTGTAATGGTGCTTCTGAAGCCTGAGTAGACATGAACTCTCCACAATTCTAGTGCTAGCACATTACCTGGTGTATTGCCTTCAAGCTGTTTAAGTAGTGCTTCTACCTACCTCTTTAATGCTTCTAACCCTCCCTTCAGTCCACCACTTAATTAACATGGCAGCTCTGAATGCCACAGTTTAGACAAAAAGCAGGTTTAGGCTAATTTTAACAGTATTTAACTTTGTAGTGCAGTGAAAGCACTACTTTTAACATGAAGTTATTTCACAGAAATCAGACCACAGCAAGTATGTATTGTATCAATCTAAGCCAGCATGAAAGCTTTCTAAATTAATGGTGTATCTGTAAATATAAAATAATTTTAATTCCAAGAATTACATTGCCTCATTAATGTTTTAACATTCTGTAATTTCTGTATATCAAATACAATATAATGCTAGACGCCCCCGCATGTGAAGCTATTCTTCTGCTATGCAACCAACAACCGGGTGCACAATTAATTTCTCAGCATCCCACTAGTCTTCAGTTTTTATTCTTAATACATCACATTTGACAGATCCTTCTTGTGTCTCTTGTGGTGTGCAAAATGAGAAATGGTTGCAATATCAGTGTCAGTGCGTTCTGTGTAAGTAATTGAGTAAAAATCAATTCAAAATGCAAATATCACAGTCTGCTGATAGATAATTGTCATGAACATTATTCTAAAAACCCTAAACAAGAGACACCCTTCTGTTTTTAGTGACGTTTAAATAAAAGACACTGAAAAAACTGGACACAGAGCTGGCAGTTTCTACCCAAAGATACTGCTATTACTTTCTGCTTAAACTTGTTTTAGTTAAGAACTGAAAGATTTCTCCTAACTGATCTTTGTATATATAAGAAGCATGGCAAGCCTCTGAACTTAGAGATGCAGCATCTGACAACATCTTTTTCCCCCTCAATGCCACAGGCAGAGTTCCCATTGCATTCTACTGTTGAAATGAAACCAAAGGAAAGAAAGAAGGGGCTTCATTGCATACTGGCTTACATAGCTCTATCCTGTTAGTAGCTATATTTCATTTAATAAGAAGTGTTAAAGTATTAGATATTAACTCTTTATAATACTGTTAGCAGGAGTCTAATTTAGGTACATAATCACACTAATAAAAGCAGTTTATCACTCCAGCATTTAAAAAAGAAGGCAAGTTGAGTAGAAGTGTTATGCATGTAACAAAGTTTAAGGACACACAAAGCATATTTTGAAATGTTTAGGTTACCTCTGCTTCTACATCCACATTCTGTTTCAGAAGCAACTTCAAAATGTCAACATGGCCATTCTGGCTTGCAGCTTGCATAGCTGTGTGTCCAGCACATTGCCCATTCACCTGGAATGCCAACACTTGAAGGTGAGTTTCAAGACACACACACATGCACCTGTGAGGCTGTTTACTAGTAGAAAACTTAAAGCAACAGCAAACACAACACAGAATCAAATGAATAATTTTAAGATGCCTTCTTAGCATATATAGATCACCTGAAACTTCTCTATTTCATTTCTGTATTAGCTAGACTGAAGGAAAAATGAAGAAATGGATTTTTATCAAACATTAAGACATTAATGATACATGAATTAAAAACATTCATCTTTGGGTAATTCCTGGAAAGATTTTTGAGAACAAGTCTCAGATTTATATGTAACTTCCTTGCCAAATTTATGGCAACAGGAGAGAGTCTGAACAAAATCCCATGTTTTGTAAAATCTTAAGCTAAAAATCAGTGCTCAGAACCAAAAAAGTTCAGACTCCTATCTGCAAGCATTACTACTGGTGTAGTGATAAAGACTGTAACTTTAAAATACATTCCCTAAACAAACTCCTATAATTACAAAGCATTTTCTTTTAGAATTTTCAGTATCAGACAAGTTGGTAAAAGAAATGTGACAGAGAACAGATTAGATTATTTACTCTGTGAGTTAATTAAACAAAACAAACTCACAACAACAGTAAAAACATCCAGAAAAAACTATCCTCCTTTCTCTATCCTCCCTGAAAAAAGAAGCATTTGAAGACCCTTCAGTAATTGTGAACATTTGGTACTCTGCACCAACTCTGGCAGCCAGCGGTTCAAAAGTTTCTTAATTGATGGCAGACAAAAGACTACAAAATCTGTCCAGCAAGAAAGTATGTACAGCTGTGTGTTCACACAGCCCACACACATTTCACAGGACAACAAATGGGAGAAGAGACAGTGGAATTAGCTGTATTACTTCTGAGAAGACACTACCAACTGGCAAGGAGTACACAGAACAGCTGCACTTCTTTTAGTACTAGAGGCCCCCCCAAAAGAGATACCCCCAAAACAGAACACTCACATCTACATCTGGCCTCTTTAGCAAGTCTTCCACTTTAGCAACATCTCCATTGGCAGCAGCTTTAACCAATTCTTCATTGAGATCTCCAGATTCTTGGGTTTCAAATAATTTTTTCAATAGCTGGGACAATCTCTCTGTAATTGTTAACCAAAGGACAACTAAGATTACAATTCTAATTACACAAGAACAGAAAAAAACCCCAGCTACATTTGTTTTGTTTCTAAGGCCATGTACATAGTAATACACAAACGACCATAATATAGCAGCTGTAAAATGACTTGAGTTTGAAATAAGAGCTGCACCCTAGTACCCTTTAGACAATGGAGATTGCCACATCAGACACGTCAAAACAAAGCTGGTTGCACCACAAATAGCTCAAATAGCTTTTCTTTTACAAAATACAAAAGGGCAGGACAAGGTAAAAACATGAACTTATGTATTGCTATTACAGACTTTCTAATATTAGGTATAGCCTGTCTCCTATGATTTGAAACACTTAAGTTGTATTACTCTTCTAGATAGTTTTATGGCCACTGCACTTGGTTCTTTATTGAGAAAACTCACTGCATCTATGCCTCCTTAGGAAAAAATCTAGAAAACTATTTAGAAAGTTTTCTTGGCATTAAAGCAAATATGTGAAGAGGAAAGAGTAACTAGCTATGACTAAAAAAAGGAAAAACTCTAGTTTCAATTGAAAAGTGCCAACAGAACACCAAAACAAGCTGGACAGTCTTTCTGCCTTGTTATTGTATGAATGACAGCATGTTCAACAAAACTGAAGTTTGATTACATAGACACCAAAAAATCCCACTGTAATTAGTCAAAGGATGTCTGACAAAATTTTAAGACAGAAATTAAAAAAAAAAAAAATCCTGAGTTATAATAACCACCTGCAACAGATCCTTTGCCTGTGTCTGCTATCTTAAACCACCTATTAAACAAGGAGGCTGCTTATTACTGCCAGTGACACTCTCTGCATGCCTCAGTCCCTATTTCAATCTGATGTCCATTCCAACCATTTTGAAGTCCTTAGAGTGGACCACCGAAGAGACACCTGCACTGTGACCAAACAGAAGCACCTGATCAATATAACATCTCCATATTAACTGCAAGCTTTTCTTCCAATCTTTCTCACATAAAACTTCAATTACCCAAACTCCAAAGCTATTATTAACCTTGCATACACACAATGTATTAATGCCTAATAACAATTTTTAAATTAACACAATTACTTGCCATACATATGGCAATATTACTAGTTTTCTTCAAACTTACCACCAGATGCATTACTTATAGCAGATCCTGCAGATGCCACCTTCGAGACAGCTGCTGGATTATAGGTCCAAGACGTCCCACAAACCTCTACCTTTAAGTCACTGTCTGAATAGATCTGCTGAACACGACCAACTTTACCTAAAGTCTGAATTAAAGAAAACATCAAAGGCAAATAAAACATTCCAATTTCCAAGTATTTTGTTTTTAATATTATATAAATTTTATTAAGTCCATTATTTAACAACATAATCACTACTATCTTTACATAGGTTTCATTTGATAAGCAGATTGCTGCACCTGAGCAAGTATTACACTGCATTTGACGAAAACTTAAAAAGAAAATCCCTTTCAGACTGCTGCAGCCTCCAGGTACATTACCAATAATAACTAGAAATACTGTACAAGCTTGACCATTCTATGAATGCAATACACAGCTACTCACTGGAAGCATTGCCTCAGCCCACTCTCCATGACCTCTCTGGAGAAGCTTGATTCGCTCCAAGTCATAACATACTTGAACGAGGTCGCCCACTTGGAATTGAGAGGTACCTCCTTCTGCACCTTGAGCAGCATCTCCACTTCGGACAACGTTGGCCTTGGTGAGAACAGCTGGATTAAATGTCCACCTAAACAATGAATCATTTAAAGTAGGTATTGAACACACAAAGCAAAATGTATGTTTAGAAATTACCTGTTGGGCAAGTTTCTGCTTGTATGCCTACAAACTTTCTGCAACTGGATACTATGGATACTATATTTGCTGTTATCCATTTTTTGTCCATAAACTTGCCTCATTAATTCATTAATTGTGGTTCATTAATTAATTTCAAGGAAAATCTTCAGAGATATGTATTTGTAAAGGCAATTAAGAAATACCATGCCTAAGGAGAAGCAAGCTGACAGCAATGTAAAAGTCCCGAAAGTAGCTATATGGTTGCTTTATTTTTCCAGGGATAGGAAATAACTGGCTGAAAAGCAGCAGATCCAAGTTGTCTCTACGACTGAACTGTCAGGAAACAACATAGGAAGAAGACAGAATTTTGGCCCTTCCCCCCAAGTCAAAAGATGCAACATTAAGTTATAACAGTATTTTTCAATTAAATAGATGTCCCAGATATACCTCAAATTTCAATCAAAGTATCCTATTGGTAGTTTGAATTTTACTGATTTAAAGGCATTTAGCTGTTTAGTCAGGGAGGAGACCAAAAGACAGAGCAGCTCCTGACATGACAGCTGCTGACATGACTGCCAGAAGAAAAGCCACTTGCATCCATTTAACTGGGAAAACAGCTTTGTTCTGATTGCTTTGCAGTATTAGCAGAAATATCTTGAGGGATATCCTGAATAAATAGTACACTGTTAATTCTTTCTGGACAAACTGAACAGGTCAAACTCCATATACAACTGAAATGATATTCCATTCAGCTGCTACTTTTTAAAGATAAGCCAAATACTTGAGAGCAAGAGAACGAAAAACCATGTGGCCATGCTATACCGCTGGGTTTGTCTTATTAACATGGATGCAGCTAAGCAAAATTCAAACCTGAACTGCTTGCAGGGAGTGGTTTTGGCTTCCCCAATACCTCCTATTCTTGGTCTGTATTTTACATAAACTAACATTTCTTTGAATAATAAAATAATAATTCCTTTGAATAAAAGTAACTCTAGTTTAGAAAAGATTCCCCCCCTGAAATTTGTCACCTGTCCTCTTAAACTATTTTCCTGAAAACCCACAATGAACTGCTATTACGTTGCCCCTTGAAACCATGGGATAGATAGTTTTTAATTAAAAAGGAAGTTACTGCTTAAAACACAATAGTCTAGAACGTAATTTCTTCTTTTGGACTCAAATTTTCACAAATGAGAGGCAGCAGAATTCCTTTTCCTGCTAAAGCATCCTAGAAGTGAAGTCCTCATTAGACATCTAGAAGGAAATCTTAACAGACACAAAAGGAGAAGAGAAAGCTTCTGGCACCAAGTAATCACAAGCACTGAAGGCAAGGGAAGTTTGTGAGAAGCAATGATAAAGGATATAGAACAAACCTGTTGCCACTTGGATATTGTACTACAATGTCATGGTCCTCATCGATGCCACAAACTGTTCCAGTTGTTGTTAAAGTTTCAAACATGCCATCAGTCCATCCTCCATGACCATGCTGCAAAGATTGCACAATTTCCAAGTCGAGGTCAATGTTTACAAGGTCACCTATTTGCAGCCCACCAGGGTTTCTGTTACCATTTTGCTCACCTGAAAGGGAGTAAGGGGAAAAAAACCCGTTTACATCACCATACTAATTTTCCAAGCAATTTAAAGAATGGAAGTTAATTTCTGAGAATCACAGAATTGTTAAGGTTGGAAAAGACCTTTGAGATTTTCAAGTCCAATGACCAACCAAGCACCACCACCATGTTCACATTGAACTCTGTTCCAAGTACCCTATCAACATGTTTTCAACACTTCCAGGGATGGTGACACCACACCAATGCCTCTGCAACCACAGGGGCTAACAGGTAAAAAAACTTTGGAACCTCTGGCAACAGAACTGTGTGTTTCTTGTTGAGTTTTCAAGGGAAATAGCAGTGACACTGGCAAATGCTAAATAATTGTGACAAGTCCCACTATGGGCTCTAATTGGGATCTTAAATTAGTGGTGTTAGATATCTGGACACATAAAAGCTCTGGTGTCAATCAAACTACAGTGCTTTTGTGCAAGGAGTTAGATTTATTATATCTCTTAATATTTAAGCCAATTCTCTAAGAATGAACAGCTATATTTGGCTTTTTAGAAATACACTGCACAGGGCACACAACACAATTTATAACTTAATGAACTCTTAAAAGCTCCCTTGCCATCCCCTTGGCACACTGATACCGAATGCAAATCAACACGAATTTACTTCAGCTTACCTAACACAGGACAATGGTCTCTGTAGAATGAGCCTCCTTTTGCATCTTGAACACATTTCAGGTCAGACTACAGAAAGAGATTTGAGAAAACTTTAGTCCTCAGTGACTGAGTCTCCAGGTCAGTGAAACCAGAACTGAAATATTTAATTAAGACAGGCTAAAAACTATGCATACTAAAAACATGTCACACAATGCACATAATCTCTTTCCAATCATTCAGCCTTGACATTCTCAAGACTTTAATAACATTTATAAATATAACAGGCTATAAAGGATGAGAATTTTTTATTTCAAATACAGGAATTAACACAAAGCACCTTTGCCTTGTTCTATTAAGTTATTTTTCCTTTTAAAAAAGAATTCTGTGAACACAAGTAAGGAAACATCACTTAGTGCCTGTCACTGCTGCCCACTCTTCCTAACATTTTTGGACAGATCCATGTTTAACTTGGAAGAAAACATGTCACTCAGATTCTATAAAATGAAAACTTTTCAATTAAGAATATGCAGAAGAGTACTACTTCAAAAAAACCTACAAAATACTACACTGAGCTAAACATGTTCTTTTTAAAGAGGAAAGCTTTAAAGCTCATCCTTCATAAAAGTGTTTCATATTATGAGAAACTTTAAGTGTGGTAACCAACTCCTATTCATAAAGCCAGAGGATTTTCTATAATTCTTCTTTCCTTTATGTGTAATGCTTAATTCCAAAATAGCTATCATCTGCCATTATTCCTTATGAAACAATTCTCACTGAACAAAGGACATTTTTGTGCGCAAAATAAGTTGGGAAGAAAATCAGAAACTGCAAAATGTGTCAGAATATTCTATGGCATGGGGGAGGAAGTAGGGGACAGGTGGTGGTAATGATATCATTAACCACAACTAAGTAAGTACCTGAACAACTCTTCTACCCTGCCCGAGATTTATTGACAAACTGTCCTCCTGCAAAAGGATTAAAATGAAAACTCTGCACTCTTCCAAATCATCAAGGCTTGAATGAGCAAAATATCACCCTTGGCAACTGTGGCAACCAGAAAAACCACAAAATTCAGTGTATGTCCTGATGTATGAAGAATGTACTGTCACTTTGGAAAAATGATGAAGACAGCCAGAGGAAAACAATGAGATTTTAGCTTCTCTTCAAATGCCCTGAGAAAGTAGAGAAAGAGCTTGCTCAGCACAGCAGCATCAGGCCTGCGACAGGACGCTGCCACCCGGTGGGCAGGTGCTGGGTTTAGCCACAGACAAAGGGGCTGCGCCGACCTTCCCAGATGGCAAACTCATTCATTCCCGGAACGAGGGAGAGGGAATGTGCCCGGGAGCACTGCTTCTCACCCACTGAATACAAGCCCTCGTGTCAGGCAACAACCAGCTGTCTGTGAAGGAGACAAGGAGAGATGCACATGCAAGAGCTGCTGTCACATTCTTCAGAACACTAAGAATAGAGCCTAGGAGAGTCCAAAGGCTCTCCTCCCTGCAAGGCAAAATCAGGGTGAAAGATTGATTGTGTTACAAGAAGTGTCAATGCACTGAGCAGACTGATGGCTAAAACCTAACAGAAGAAACAAAATGCTAATTAAAAGGCTAATTACTATTTTGCAGCTGACATTACTAGGAAGCCTGTTACAGTATCCTACATTTTATAGAAAAAAAACCAAAACTCAGAAACCTGCACTTGTATTTTACCCTGCCTGCACTGTGACCTGCACACAGTTTATATCTGGAGTATAATGATATGCTTGGTTGAAAGACTAAGTGGTAGATTGTTGTCCAACCTCAGCTACACAACTGTCTTCTTTCCTCTTACATGATGTAGTCAATGTTATGTTGTTAAAGAATAAAACAAGAGTATGAGCTAACTAAATCTTGTAGAATTTATGTACAATTAGTGATAGAAAGCCCAGTTAAACAGGCAATCAATGAGAACTCAAGGAAAAGCATGCAAATCAGACATTGCACAGCACAACTTGCAGGTCAGTATTAACAGCTGATGCACATGAGCAATGGGTAATAATGGTTGTTGTATAGGCTTTACATAATGGCAAATGGTCTTTGCCTACTATGGAGAACTCTGGACTTCCAACACCCATACTTTAACTTCCTAAAAATCTGCATTCCAGCAATATGTGATTGTATTACATAGAGTCGTGACTTGCCAGGTCAAATAGGAAATATAGTATATGTACTTTGACATACCATCCAACAGCATCATTTTTATCTTCATAAAACTTCAGAGAATGAGAGAAAATGTAGAGCAAAGTCAGCAGTGCTGCCAGATGGTGTAAAAGTACCATTATCCCTGACCTTGAGGAGGAAAACAAAGCTGAAGGAGCAGCTGACTACAGAAATAACTATTAAGTTATTACACTCAATATGAAATGCCATCCATCAATACCAGGGAGGGAGGCTCTACAGACTTGGTAAGAAAACTAGCTCTGCTGCTGAGAAAAAGAAGCATGTTTGATCCAGACGCACTGACGCAGCATCTAACATCCGCAGCAAATATCAGGGGAGAAATTAGTACTGATCTTACAGATACACCAGTAGGAGTAGTGCCATAGCTGCAGTTGCTCAAGGTAGCACTGAATACACATAGTAAAGGTCACTTTAAGTCTTTAAACTCACAACAGCTTTTGGGAAGGAAATCAGCCCTTTGGAGGCACATGGAAAAAGTTCAGTGCATGCTGCTTCGTCACCAGATTAAGGCAACAAGAGACTGGATAAATCCATACGTTTTAACTAAAGGTTTGTAAGAAATGCCGTGTTTCAAATTTCATGAAATCAAATCCTTCTCAGTTTCAAGAAGCTGGGAAAAGTGAAGCAATAGAGAAGGTAGACGATGGTTGAGAAAGTGACTGAAATGACAAAGAGGTGTGAGGCACAGAAACAATAACAACAGTTTTTACAGAGGAAGTCAGACCTCAGGCAAATCCTGAGTGAATGGTTTGCAACCTTACTATTTATTATAGGGACTTATCAAAGCTTTGCATTTGTAACTTTTTTTTTTTTAAAGGAAGATAGTTTTCCTTGTCAGTTAATAGTATAAATAAAATTGGAAAATGATCATGAAATTCATTTCTGCTTAATGGAAATATTTTTCTTCGCAACACAAAGATTAAAAACTTGACTTGGTTGAGACTACAGGAGAAATGTGGCTACATGAAAAAGAAGCAAAACGAAGTCTGCTGACAAATGCATAAAAATGCACAAGATAAATGACCAGAGAACTGAAGATTTGACTGACATTACAGACATGACAGTTTTAACTACAGTGGAAGGTGAATATTTTTTAACACTCACATACAATGCCTAGTATACAAAGATATTTACCTTGCTTTTATTTTAAAAAAAAAATGGTAACAAGAAATTCTTAAAATCTTCTAGAACAATTTCAAATAACAACTTCATGGGTAATCCAAATAAAAGTTGATGAATAGACATTAATTATCAATCACCTAGAGGCAAGCAATCTCAACTTCCCTTATGCACTCACTATTTGGAATTTGTGGAAAAAAGTATACCAACACAGATAGCTTACATATCACTGTGACAATGATAACTACAGATACTTCTTTCAGAGGCCACACAGATGAAAGAATGATCATCCAAAACAAGAAACTAGGAGAGGCTAATTGCAGCAAAAAAGGCAAGTAGTACAGAGAAATGGAATTCTGAAAGAAACAGATTCCTAAATGATGAAATTGATTTAGGACACTCCTGTAGATGGAAATATTTTCCACTGAAAACCAAGGGAAGTCACCAGCTTTAGATCCTCAGCTCACGTGTTATGAAGAAATAAAATCCAGACACAAGTCCCAAAAGCAAAATCACAATCTTCCCATTAACTCTTTAATTCCATATGAACTCTCTTTGTTACAAAAGGATATGTTCACACATATTTAGAAATTAAAAAATGCCCAAAGGGGGTTATTTGGTTAACAGCTCAGGACTCTGAATACATATAAGTAAGAAATGTGAGTAGCATAATGAACCATGTAAGACGACAGTAGGTCATTCTTACTAAGAATGTAGCAAACATTTTATCTGACCTAACAACATCATAAACACATATTTCAATTCAGGAATTCGTGGTCTGTGGCAACAGAAACTCCCAGACTTTACAAAAAAAAACCCAAAACCCAACAAAAAAACAAAAAAAAAAAACCCACAAAAAAACAAAAAACACAGCACAAGAGGCAAGATGCACTTCTCAGCCACTTCATATGTAAACACAGCAAACACAAATAAAACCTCCAAGTATCTGGCCAGAAATAAATGCATGTTTTCAGTCAGCACCTGCTGCCTCACCAGCCAAACCTCATCTCTCCAAAGCTGGCAGGCCAGATAGATTAATTTTGAGGACCAGATGCAGTCTATCAGCTATCAAACACGAACACTGACTTACAATAATGAGCTGTATTTCTTTAATCAGCTCCATTAGCATGAGTCAAGTGTTACCCATTTGCAAGTCAGGGTCTCTTCCCAGCTGTATTTACATGGCTACACACTCTTGAGTATTGTTGATTCCACATTCTCTGTACCTTTCAAACCAATTCCCAAGTACTAAAACAAGTTTACCCCGACTTTATGTGATCTTTCTGACAGTCTCAGCTTTACATAACAACACATAAATAGTAGTAAACAATAATAATGAATTGTACACTTAACAAATTACTAATCAGTTATAAAATTAAGCATTACACTCAAATGACTCATAGATATCCAAGAATCCATTCCGTCTGAAGTGAAAATTGCATTTTTTGAAAACACTGAAGATAAAATTAGTGTAGGAATGGATTACAATCAGGTAAGCACTACTTACACAACCTCCAATTATCCTTTCTGAACATCCACATGTACATATTTTTTCTCTATTATCCTAAAAACATCTATATACGTAGTCTCACACACAGTTAAACAGGCTTTTTATAATTGACCAAATATTTCTATTTCTACAAAACTTATGAGAAGGGTCACCATCACCCCTTCAAATTTACAGTTGAAGTACTTAATGGAGTTTTCTAGAAATATTTAACACTTTGAAAGGTGGCTAAACTTTGGAAACACAATGTAGTTGATTTTAAAATAATAATTTTTATTAAGGGAATAACTATTTCAAAGCATAATATAACTTATCTCAAATGTACTTTTTTCATGAGACCAGAAGGAATCTTCAATGATTCCACAGCACTTTTACTATGCAGTTCAAAAATTTTAACATAGCAACTGAAATCGAAACAACCACAACAAACAAAAGAAATCAGTTGATCTGTATCTCATTCTATCTAGATTTTGTGACCATTACTTTTCCATGTATCACAAGAGAGAAGACTCCAAACATTAAATCAATGTTATACTACAAAATACCACATACATTCATTTTTGCCAGTATATAAAGATTTTTCTTTAGGACTGGGGAACACCATGAAGCACATAATTTAATACTGACTCATGTTTTACCTCTAGGATCTTAATGCATCAGAAAAGCTGACCTGAACTAAATTATTTTACTTTTTTTAAAATATGTATTTCCCACAAAAGTGATATTTACTTTCATTTTAAGTATGAAAATAAACTGTAAGTAAGCAAGGCTGTAAGGTCAAATAGTTTACATTCAAAAAAGTAACTGGTCATTGTTTAACATTTTATTACTGTTACACATCTGACAAGATGACACTTCAATGTTAAATTAACATGGTTTTCCCCTGCAGAATCAAACAAAAATCATGCAGAGAAAATGCTAATTAAGATGTTTTAAGCAGCTGATAATCAAAGTAACCTTTCCTTGACCCACATTAGGATAAGAAAACCCAGCAACAGAAGGCACTTAGGCTAGAGTCTGACCCATTTTCTCTCTAAAGCTGAAGAAGTTGCTGGAGAAACTTCAAAAGGAAACAGAAAAATTTAGCACTAAAGCAAATTAAGGTCGTAGTTTAATTCAACACCTTTCCATTTGCAAAAATAAAATTGCTCTCAATAGCATTCCAAGCACTGACAGTAATTTAAATGCTGCAGATCTTGCAGTAAAATCACACCAAAATTTGAAGTCAACTGAAGAATTCAGGAGTTGAAGAACATGGTTTTTTAAAAAAGTTTATAACTACATCTGCTGTTCTTTTCTGAATTTTAATCTAAATACCACAGTAGCACAGAAAGATAAACGTGTGTGATGCAAATATTTACTGTGGCAGAAAGCAGCTCTTAACTTGTAGTTATCCACATTTAATAAATTCCCAGATCAGACTTTCTTACTAATACATATGCATGACCCTTACAGCTGGATTCACAATGACCTGACTACCAGCATGCAAACTGACAAAGCATATTACAAAAGCAGGACCATAAAGCACAAGTTATTCTTACTGCCCTTCCCCCATCATGCATTTTGCCCTTTGTATTCTTTTATACTTACCATGCCCTCAAAGCCAACTCTGTAAAGATTTTTAGCACCATTGTCCCAAAGAACATATGCTGCGCTATGTGGACTCGACGCACTCCAATCTTGGATTTCAGTTACCTATTCAGTTGTGAGAATAAGAAAATGGTTTCTAGAGCAAAGATTCAGAAGCACAAATTGAACTTAAAATTTTATTCGTCTCTTCAAAATAATTAATCATATTGTAGTTTTACTAAACTTGATAAAATTTCATCTGAAGCTGTTTTCTGCTTGAGGCAAGTGTTCCCTGGGTGTGCTAAGACAGCAGTCTGAATATATACTTTGTAGGCCTATTATTCTTTTGTATGTTTGGAGGTTATCTAACTACAGATGCAGAGAACAAAATCTGAACTATATTCTTACCAGAAGCGGCATTTAACTAAGAGAAACAGGATGAAAACTATTCTAATTGCTTCAATATGTCTGGTTTAACTTGCATTAGCCTGGTGGCTGTGCACTATGTTAAGAGACAATTTTATTTCCAGAGCCAATATGTTTAACACAAAAGTAGTACAAAAGTAGAGTGAAAATGTCTTTCCCTGACATTTCTGAAATCAGGAGGCCATGCACCAAATTCTCAAAACATTTCCATTATTTAAAAAAAAAGGAAAAAAAAAGTTTCCAGAATTTGCTTTCATTCTTATTTATATTTATTTAAATAATGTTTCTGCTATCTAGGACATACCCTTCCACATTTAAAAACATTTATATGCATTTATATGTATTTTCAGATGTACAGGTAAAAAATCTCTCTAATACAAATTTAGTACACAAAGCAGACTGTGCAGGATAGGACTCTTACTTTGCAAAGTTTCAGAGATTCCAATGTATCTTGACATGGGAAGGGGTAAATAATCGAGATAAATAAAAGCTGCATTTAAATATCCCTTGCTTTAAGAGATTTAAACTTACTATTTCCTTTCAGTAAAATTCAACATGAAATCCCCAGAAGTCCTAAGGCTTCCATAAATGTCTAGGATATAAAAGAAGCTAAACGAAAATATAAAATAGGCTAAATATCATAGCCAGGAACTTTTCACTCTCCTTTAAATGCTGTTTAAATGTATTAAAAATAAATTCAACAAAAAACACCAGGTCACCAAGATATAAGGGCAAGTCATAGTGTATTTTACACTGCCTGTTGTACGTTCATACTTAGAACAAATCTTCATTAGTTCTCAAGGTAAATGGAAGTTGTAAAAGTAAAATAAACAGATGTTACAATTAGTAACTTCTCATTCCATACAAATATTTTTACCATAGCACTTCATCACAAGCACTCCTAGACTGTCCTAAGCCAGTAACATAATAGCCACACCCAAAACTTGCAAAGCTTTTTAATTTTAAACTGGAAACTCCCTATAATCATTATATGAAAAACAAAACCCTAGGGTGCTAGCACTGAAAACCAAGAGCAAGAGATACACAAATGTGCTGGCCAGCAAGCAGTAAGACTACAGAATGCAGTGATGACTAGAAAGGGGTACTCTTGACAGCTCTGTTTTTATACCAGCTCTCTAGTAACACTGAAATATGCTCAAGATCTTGATGTTGCTACACAGCAATCTTAAACAGACAGCCTTAAACAGACAATCTTAAATGACAAAAAATTAATAATTAAAAAAAACCTGTGCTGATATTGTAAAAAATGCCAATTAAAATGTAAAAGAATTGGCTATAGTGTACACCCCCTCCTCTTTCTAAATGCTTAAGTATTACGAAATAAGATTTAAAAGTGCCCAGCCAATTAAAACAGGAGCTTTCATTATTGTATTCTTGCTCTAAAATTAAAAAGGTCACTGAAGCCATTACATGAGTAAAAAGAGGTGCAGCTTCTTATTTAAACCAGTTTAATTTTACCTTTCCTCTACGCCCATTGCCACCATCCTGATCTTCCCATTGCCAGTCAACTCCTCGCACCACCCTGGCACCTGCAAAGATTCCTCTTGCTGTAATTTTCTTTGATTTACGTCGAGACTCCAACAATACCCTGAAGTTATTAAAAGAAGAACCCACAAATGTCAACATAATAACGGAAGTCCAAAACAACTCCTTGGGGATGGGAAGGAGAGCATCTTAAAACAGAAATAACACACAATGGCAGATTTCAATGCATGAATCACACAAGCAGTACACAAAAACCCCCAAACTTCCAAAATCTGATTTAATGAATGTTTGTAATTAGTTTTTTAAATTCTAACAATTTTTCTCCAGACTTCCTACTACCAGCATTCATCTTTTAAATGTCTGCATATAGATCTGTACCTATATTATTAAAATCATTAAAGGACAAGCAGAGCTATATAAACACATTTCTGCTTCTCTTAGATGCACTCTAAGCCAATACGTCTGTCCCACAACTGCCTTGCCACTTTTTATTCAGAATTACACTATTAAGATCAACTCTTTTCCCTCCTCCCTCAGTTTTTCTACACATTTTTATAGCATCTCTTAGCAAATTTAAGTCAATATAGTAGCATCCATTTTTTCAGTCATATTATATGGTTTTTTAAAGCTAACCTTTTCCTTCTGACTTCAGTAGGAAGTAGATAAGCCTAAACAGGGAGATTGAAGTAGATAAGCCTAAACAGAACAGTACATGATTATTTAACTAGAAATAGAAATAATCATCTCAAAAGCCACCAATTTTCACACAACAAAGCTTCTTACTTCATACCAGGAACATGTTGCCAGACAAAAGAATATTTCAGCTGACATTTGGAATGTTTCCTGACCACTTCAGGAAATTTCTCAGAGTTCTGCTAACTTTTAACATCCAGCAGATGGCACACAAGGAAAAAGTTCAACTGCTACAATCAATGCAAAGAGCACATGAAAACATTGGCGGGTTTTTTTCTAAGAAAAATAAAAGTTATCAAAAGCACATAATAATCTTGTTTAGAGAAGCTTCTTAAGAAGTTCTCAATACCTAAAAAACTGAGACAAAAACCTACATACATTACTTCATTATGCCACCCATACAATATCCCAGACCCGAAAATAAATAAGTATGAGCTTATGCTTCCCTTCATCAAAACGTTCTTACATGTCTCTTGCCATTTTTCCTGTGAGACATTCCTCACATTCAACAGCACTGTTTTGCCCTTTTCTCCTCCCTAAAACAGTTAACTTCCATTATTTTTTCTCAGCTAAGTTTGATTCGATAGAAACAGCTCCTTGGCAGAAGAAGCTGCCTTCTAGATAAGAGCTCAGTGAGAGTAAACAAAGAAAGGAAGAAAGTGACAAGATGGAAAAAATTTCCAGCAATATTTTACACAGTGTACAATTTATCTTCAACACTAAAACTTGTGCTGTATTTACCATAACCAACCTGTTAAAACTACAAAGAAAACCTCAGCTTAAGAAAAAAAAATAATTCTGGCAAACATTCTCAAAAGCAACACGACTTCAAAAAAACAAATAAAGAGAAAACATTCTTTAACTAAACCTAACTTCTCCAAGAAGATATAAATGTTGTCTTACACATTACATTCAAATGAGCACCATATTAAAAAAAAAAAAACAACAACTTTGATGATTTAATGAAAGATCATTCAGGAAACATCACAGAGGTGACACCACAGTGTGTAGCCTTTACACAGTGTTTTTCCATAGCTTTCCAAGTATTTAGCAGCAGGCAGGTATCACTGTTCTCACTTAACTGGTAGATAAATCATGACAGAGAGGGGCTTTGGACTGAGACAAGTTATTTAAAGTCAATAACACCTATAGAAGAACACACTAAATGCAATTTTGTTCAGAGTTCTCCACTGAGATACAATAATTGATGGTTAAGAACATGAAAACCAAGGCAAGAGTAGAACAACCCTTCATAGCATTTTTTCTGTTTCCTCTAGTGAGCAGTTTAAGCAGTCCAAGTCCAAGGTTTTATTCCCAGATCATTCTTTTCCATAACCTTCAAGGAGGGTAGATATTTTTCCTCAGTCTGTCCACACTATTACTGAACCTAAATCAACCTTCACATTCAGAATTCATTGACAAATCTTTCTGTGATTACACATAGTATAAAGGTAATTGCCTTTGTGTTAAAGATGCTCTATGAGAACACAAAAATTAAGAAAGCCTCAAGGAGATTAAGCAAAACTGAATAATCATATCCTAACTTTTTTCTGTACTCTGTTCGTTCTTCCTAAAACTTCCATGTTTTTCAAGATCCAAAAACTTCTCCTAGCTAACCATCTCCCAGAAACAGAATCTAACCTCAAGGCACTTCTCTTACATAATCCAAATTTCAGTAACTAAATGTTCAGTTTCAAAGTTAACCACAAATATCTGTTTCTATTTGATTTCACAAGGAAAAGGTTAGGTTTTACCTTTCACTTCCAGGTGTGGTAATTCTGTAAAAACGATGCCTCAAGTGATGCTTGTCCCCGTGATAGCAAACTGTGCACAAGTCATAATTTGTGCATTCAGCACATTTCCATCGGATGCCAATGATAGGCTGCTGTCGACAAGTATCACACATAGTCCCATCATGTTTGATACCTGTGGAAGGAAAAAAAAATAAAAACCCTAAAATCTTTGCTGCACCACTACACAGACTTCTGTTGCACACCATTATAATTTGAAACCATATACTAAAAAGGTAACAATAAAGAAAGGTTGCTGCTTATACCCTATCAGCCTGTATCACTGAGGGGAAAAGATAGTGGACTTTGCCTCGTATCCCGGTTGGCAGTCTGTTCCTGAAATGTTCTATTTTCTCTCAGCTTAAAAAGCTCAGAAGGCTATGTCTGTGTCCTTCCATCTATACAAAGGAGAGAAAGAAAATGAGATATCTTAACTACAAGTTAAAGGGTCAGAAGTGAGTTTACCAAAATACAAAGGGCAATCTAGAATTTTATCTCTGGTGTATAGCTATTAACACACATTGTATCACAAAGGCTACTGTGCTCAAATGTGTGTGGCAGCCTAAAAATTACTGGTTTGACTTGCACATTTTGCACATTGGAAAATTTAAGTGCTTGTCTCTATTCTTTTTTATACAGGAAAATAATTAAGCTCTCTTGGATAGATGCCATTAGCTTAATGAAAATCTGTTACCATTTTTGAAGCATTTTACTGTTATTCTGGTTTTGCTTCTAAAAAGAACGCGCCAGAGACAGACCAGATGTAATCCACCAGCATGAGCTCTGCCAAGCCTTCCACAAAAGCTGATCCCAAGGCTTTAGCCTTACAACTCTGCCAAGCTACAGCAGAGTGAAAATGATCAGTCACAGAGTTTCCATCCACCCATTCTAAATACAGTGAACAGCCACAAGTTTATTAAAAATAAAAATCAAATTCTGCTCTTCGGAAAAAACTGAGCAATAGAAGAAAGAAGCACTAGTATTCCGTCTGTGGCACTAGACAGAAATGAGCGCTAAGAAGCTAGAGTAACATAGAATTTTCCCAGTCACTTTCCCTTAAAAAAATCCCAGATCAATTTGAACTTGAGGAAAAAGAATGGATTTTGCCCCTTCCAGCAGGGATGTTTTCAGAGATGACTGCCAAATTTACTATGAAATTATTAGTCACTTACACCCAACAGCTGAACCATCTGTAACAAAGAAAAAGCAACAGTTGGAAAGGCAAAACTGAAGGAAATGCCTTCTATTTTGATCATTTCACAGAAACACATAACAGCTGATGTTGGAAATAATGTCTGGAAGTTGTCTCTTCCAACAACCGCTGCTCAAAGCAAAGTAAACTAGAGCTGGCTCCCCAGGACCACATCCAGTCAAGGTTTTGATTACCACCAATAGCAGACTCCACAACACAGCATATACAACCATCCCTAGGAAAAAAAATGTTTCTTTAGTTTCAGTGGAAATTCCTGTATTTCAATTTGTGCCCATTCTCTCTTGCCCCGTCACCTGACATTACTGAAAAGAGCCTGGCTCCATCCTCTTTACAGCATTCATCAAGTATTTATATATACTCCTAAGATCTCCCCAAGCCTTCTCTTCTCCAGAGTTAAGCACCACCAGATCACTCATCCTCTTCCTGTACCAGACGCCCTCAAGAGTCTTTGCAACACATTTGCAGCCCTTCACCTGAATCTCAGTATGACCAGTCCCTCTTGCTCTAGGGATTGTATTGAAGCATTTTACTATCCTTTGGGTTTCAAAGCCATTCTTCAAGAGTGGATGCGTTGAAAGCACAGAGATACCTTGTTAGTGCTTTTGTCACCTTGTTTAAAAAGTCTAACTAGTTACGGTGCTTAGGGTTGAGAAGTAGTATTTGTTTTGGTTTTATTTCTGATTGCTAAATTGGTATTTCACATAGAAACAGAAGTTACACATATTTTGATTATATTATTTTTTAATGCCTGCTGAACTTTTGGGATGGCATTTGGCCAAGAAATACATTTATTCTGGATGTGAAGGGATGAAGGAACTGGGTGCTGTAGGATTTTTCCACTTGACCGAACAGCAGGAAAAATGGCAAAAGAGAGGTATAATCAGGAATCATGTGATACAGAATAGGTCATCTCATTGTAAACTAAACACTTCTTGACAATGAGGCAAAAGCAGATATGCAAAACTCAGCAAATTTCTTTAGGAAAGATCAAGAAAAAAATTGTACTAAGATATTTGACTCAAGTAATTTTACTGACCACAGTGTCTGGGACTTAAAAAAAGAACAGTGCATGTCTGTACTTGAAGTGTCTGATCTAAAGTGACGTTTCTGTATCTCACAGTTCCCTAAACACCATCCTGATAGATATGGCCTTTCTTCATCCATTCCCCAACACATGATTCCAGCAGCAACACCCACTTCAGTGCATGCCTCACCTGACCATGCTGCTCCATTCTTTTCATTATGCGAGCAAAAGGTTTTGCAGAGCTGGGATGCAAACTGCATCAAGAAATATACCAGGCTGGAAAACAGCCAGGAGGAAAAATATTCAGCTGAACTGGTTTCCCAATCCCATTCTTTGAGGTGCTGCACAACACTACTGCCATGAGAAACAAAGAACTGCAGGGCAGTAGCAGGCAAGTAATCCTGTTACAGAATGTCTAACCACTGCACCAGAGATCTGGAGGAAGAAGCATTTTGTATGCTTCTGGTGACAGTGGACTAAGAGACCTTGAACTTCACCTGCTAAAAAAAAAAAGGGTAAAACAAGGTGCTACTACTGATCACATAATGGGACACTAAACTCTTATTCATGGTCATAATACAAACAGAATTACTTAGATCAATAATACATGTTAGAGAAGACTGAAAGAATTTAAGTTCAACTAGATATTATAGGTACAGAAGGGTAGTAGTTTGACCTTGCCTGGCTGTTACGTCCCCAACCAACCAGTATCTCGCTCTCTCCTCCTTAACAGGACAAAGAGTGAAAACAAAATGAAACAGCTTAGGTCATGCTAAAAGTGTAATTACTTACCAATCACCATCACAGGCAAAAGAGATTTGACTTGGGGAAAACTTATAGCTAATTAAAAAAAAAAGAGGATAGTGAGGAAAACAGAAACTAAAACACCTTCTCCCTACACTTCACCGTCTGTGCAGAGACAACTGCATTCCTTCATTTCAAACACCTCTATCTCCCTGCTTCTTCCCAGGGTAAATTAAAATTACATTATCTTTTTGGTTGGAAAAGGCCCTGAGGACGATCAAGTCCAGCCATTAACTTAATACCACCAAGATCACCACTAAAACACATCCCTAAGCACCATGCCTACACATCTTCTAAATACTTGCAGGGATGATTATTCAACCACTCCTCTGGGCAGCCTGTTCCAGTGCTTGACAACCCTTTTGGTGCAAATGGGGAACACAGGGTCAAATCCATAACAGCTCCTCACACTTTTCCCCTGCCCATCATGTGTCCTCTCCACAAGCTTTATTCCTTGAGGAAAACACTGAGCATGGGCTCCCACATGTGCTGCAGTGAGGATCCCTGCTCCAGTGTGGCCCTCCATGGGTGGCACAAAGACAACTTGCATCACTGAGGTATCCATCTGCTGGTAAACCATCCACACACCAAAACTCAGCACCGAGGACCTGACAGCGGCACTAAAGATACTCAGAGGGAAGGAAGGAAACATTATGTCCAGAATTTCAGACCAGCTTGGTTCTACCCCAGTGGACTGAAGGCTCATCAGCATTGAGATCATGTATTTCAATTTACTTTTACCAAAAATCAAAGCAGTTTATGCACTCCCAAACCACTCATGATGTAAATCAAAGCACAGTATGTAAGAACAACCAGGAGACTGCATCAAGTGCAGGTTTTGGAGCCAAACTAAAATCCCTACCCAGAAGCAAAATCTGTCACATAAATTCTTCCTCTCTTCAAAAGAAGGCTGTTTAAGAAAGTTTGAGAAACACAAACATTACAAAGTTTATATTAGGAAATAAAGCCTTCATTAAACTACTGGACTAAATTAAAGTGCCATAAAAACTTCAAAATTCAGACAACAGCCTATAGCTGACCAGCTGTGCACCAGAAGAGCACTTTAGCTTTCTCTAAGCCGAGATAATGAAAAAATTAAACTTCTAAATATTCTTCAAAATTTCTTAGAAGCAGACTATTTCAAAATGAAACCAGTTTTGTATCATATACACTTTAAAAACCAAAACAAACCAGGTAATGAGAAGCATACTTTCATCATGCCTACTTTTAAATAACTGCCATTTCTTTATGTCTCTTCACCTTTAGTACACTATAAAATCCACTACTCCTGATGTCCACTTATCATTAATGCTTTTATTATTTTATTATTATTTCTATCTGAATTTCGTATTTGCTTTCTACCTTAATGCCATGGTTATCTTCACTTTTCTCATCTCTTCCCAAATCCTCCCTTGATCACCTACCTCACTATTCCTCTGTCACCACTCATTTATACAGGAATTTTACACCCCTTCACAAGTTTTTGAAACCCATGCTCACTCTTACAGCTGTGAACAGAAATAAAAATGATGCTGCTTAAATTGTTATTTGAATTTGTTACAAATAGGCTTTTTGTACTACAGATTAATTAGATGCCAATATACAGCTGTCCAATAAAAGGATTTTAACAGTAAAATCAGATGTACAAGGGGTATCCACATTCAATCACTGTTAAACAAATAAGATACCAGTAGTGATTGCACTTCTCAGAACAATCAAAATCTGATTTCCAATGGAGACATTCCTCTCTACAAACTTGTAATGAAACAAAATCGCTTCATGCCATGACAATACTACCATCAGGTAAGGGAAACCATACTTTAAAAATTGATTTATATACACCCCGATTTAAAAAGCAGTAACTATGTTTTGTTCTTCCTATTCCTTCACCCCAGACCATTTTTACATTAGGGCCAGACGTTAGGTAAATTGAAAACAAAAACTTCTTAGAGATAATCAGATTCTGAAAAACTGCACGAAAACTCTAATGAGTGTTGCCACAAAAATAACTAATCTACCAAATACACCATCTGCAAGTAGCCAGCTGACCAATTACTATTAGACACAAAATGCCAGACTTGCTAAAGCATGTGTCCTATCTGGTAAGGGAATCACAAGATACACAGGAAGGGAGAGGATTATCGTGTAGGAGTCATGGGGGAAGGGCAGGGAGAACAAAGAACACGTTTATTTTAAAAAACAGGCCTCCCAAGTACCACTACTCAGGAACCTATTAATTTTTTTAATTTGTGAGGACTCCTGTAAGTATTTACACGTAGCCACTAAAAAAATCTTGTCTAACATAACTTGCTGTAAATTACACTTGATGTTCTAAAAGCAAGAACAAATAAACAAATACACAGGATAAATCATAGGTGTTCTGTCTTTTAGAGTGCTTTTAACATGTTTGACTTCATGATCAATTATGCCCATTTTTAGGTACAAAAACCTATTAAGACAACACAGAAAGCCACTCATCTACCACAGGTAACGCCCAGATTTTCAGTATTATCAGAATACAGCACATTATGCTTTCCACACTACACTGATGCACACTCCAGCTGGGGGATAATTCTGCATCAAGATTTCCATTTCCTGACTCCAGCCCCTCCGCCACCTCCCCTTATTCAAACACAATTGGTAAATTATTTCAGCAAGGAAATAATATTGTTACTTTGAAACCACTGTATAAAAAATGGAATTAATGACAAATGAATTCTGCTCTATAGAAAGCAAATCTTCAGAAAGAATAAACAGAAAACGTTTCTGTATTGCTTATGGCTATTATGTGAATATAGCCAGTTAGCCTGATGTGCTCTCTACAAACATGCTACTTGTCTGGCCTTTAGTGCAGGTAAAAGGCTGCCTTCCTTTCTAAATAAAAAGCTTGGATTTATAACTTTCTTGCTTCTCTTCAGCAACTCAAAACTTCTGTTCCTTTTTCAGAACACTATCAAAAAAAGGCGACACTCAAGACTCATAGATCCTGGCAAAAGTCTACTTCACAGAAAAAAACAGGATTTATCTGCAAGTAATTGAACAACCACACTGCACTACTGATGTATCACATCTGACCACTTTCTCCATTGAGGAGCCAGATACACAGGACCTACCTGAAGTTTTACTTCCATGTGAAATTTTAGTTCTTTTCAAATCCTTGGTTTATCAATCCCTCTCAAGTGCTCTATGTCACTTAAAGCAATATGGGGCAATGTAAATATGACCACAACAAAGGGCAGCCAATACACAAACCTGGTAGACATAACCAAAACAAGACTGAACTTTGTATCTCAAGTCCCTCATGACCCAGATGACTGCATCTGGAGCAAAGAGTTTACAATACATTCTTCATGTAAATGAGTTTTTATTTTAAGAAGACCAACCTAGTATCTTAGCACTAAGGCTATTAAAGTTTTCTAAGATGCTAGTGTCACAATGCTGGTAATAGCCTACAACCCCTGAAAGATAAGAACAGTTTAAGTTTATGAAGCATAGTTCTGACATATACATATATATGCACATACATGAATCAAACTCAACTTGCCTTTTCGTTTTTTTTAATAGCATGACCTTCAATCATTACTTTTGTAACACTCTAAGTTCCTGATGCACCACTACTGTTCCTGGCTACACAGGCTTCAAACTTAAAGCAGCAACTCTGGCTGCAAGCACCACTTCTAAGAACTTACCATCAAGACTAGTTATGAATACATAATAGAAAGAACTCCCAGCAAGAACCAATTTTTATTTTTACTATTTGACTTTTATATTTATTTTCCCTATAAACTCACATTGTGACTGTAAATTCATGAACCAGAGAATTTTTTTTCATTTTAAATTCTAAGAGCCGTGACACACACTCCACTAAGTATCATCAAACAAAAAGCCACCCCGTGCTTTATAACATTTCCTTGCTCAACATCATCATTAATACTACCACAAGAAATTTCTGTCACCTAATCCCGCTCACATTAATGTCCCTAGAGAAGTATCAAAGTATTATGCAAAGTCAGAGTCATTTACTCTAAACAACAGTCACCAACATGGAGAAAAAACAAATCATTACCAAAAGGCAAAGAAGGAAAGTGATTTAGACAAGACTACAAAGTGAATTAGCAGTAAACCGAGGACTTCAGTCCAAACTGACAGCACCTTAACTCAGTTAATTTTGCCTTTTTGTTAAAACTACTTTATGGAATTCTACTCTTCCTATCTCCAGGGAATAAAGAACCCAAAAGTAACTCCCTCTAGCAAAAAGCAACCCTGGGTACATCCACACAACAGTTCCATGAGGGCAAGGATGATGTTCGCCAGAAACTGCAGGAGAACAAATACCATTTTGCTAAGCCTGGCAACAGCAATGCGTGTGACACAATATACAGAGTTTTATCTGAAACAGAAGTTAAAATTGTAATACAGAAGTATAAACAGAAATGAAAATCAGGAGGAATAAAGCAAGAAACAGAAATAAAAACATGATAGTTTTAAGACTGAATATTAAGTCTAGGCTTCCAGATACAGTTAAGAGGACACCATCTGCTCGCAAATATGTCAGGCAGGGCTAGAACAATGAGCATTCGAGGTTCATATGCAACATTTATGCATGTGCTTCGGTTCTAAGCAGAAGCAGTCCCACTGGTTTCTTCAGGACATCAAACACAGGTAAGTTTCTAAGCATAAACATCTGCAAGACAAGGACTGACAACCTGAAAGACTCCTCTTTCTTGTTTTAAAGTCCATTGCAAAAGGATTTTCAAAAAAAACATCACCAGGCCAGCAGAGAAGAAGGTACCCAGTCACTGAAAAATTAAATCCATCTCAAATGGTAACCATGCAATATTTGGGGTTCTTTCCTTATCAAAGTTTTTTTGTAATTTGTTCAGGAATTCCATGATTCTGTCTCCTCAAGTCTTTTAGCTTCAACTACTGCTATAATTTTCCTTGCTGTAACACTACACGTAGCTGGCACAAAGATGGTCTCTCCACACAGCTCTAGTGCCTCAACAAATCAGTGCAAAGACCTCATTACTGAGGCAATCCTGACCGGGCCAAAAGCCACCTCACGATGTTTCTGATGAAACTTAACAATATCTATATTTTTCTGTGTGACTTTTCACTGTAAAAACAGGTGCTAAAATGAACAATTTCCCTGCAGTGTTTGCAACAGTAACACTGCCGCATAATGTCAGTGCAGATCAAATTCCATTGTCTAAAATGACAGGATTTAAAGCATAAATATTAAGCAGCTAACTAATTAAAATAATGAACTCATGCCCTTCTTTTCCTCCCAGTACCTTCACCATTTCACAGCAGCTCTGGCAATACAGATAAAAGGCAACGTGCAGATTACAGGCACAAAACCACGGTATTTCAACCACTTAGTGTAACCTTTAGAAAAAAACACAGTACACATTTCTTCTGTAATTATCCCTGGCCTGTACTTGATTCAAGGATGACTGCCAGAATTTTATAAACCTACTCTGAAACATAAACTCAAGAAGCGGGGATCAGGGCGTGAAAGCAAACCCAAACCTTGATGTATCTCCCTCTCGGCTGCCTCCCTCCACCTCCTCCCCGGCACAACAGGAGCCTGCTGTCTGTAGCAGATCACTTTTGCTTTGTCTGCCCCAATTCAGCAGTCCCGGGACAACTTCTGTCCCCGCGGCCCCGCGCTGTAGATTCGTCCCAAGTTCGCGTGTACACACGCACAGACACACGGACGTGCACAGACAGACACCCACGCGCAGGGAGGGGGCGGGTGCCTGACTCCCCCCCGCAAATCCAAGGGAAAGGCGCACCTCCAAAAGGGGAAGGAAGGGCGCAATCCGCTCCCCAGGACGGGACCCCCAGCACCACGCGATGCTGCCGCCCAGACCCAGCGGCGTGTTGGTGCCTCCGTTCCCTCCCCGCTCACCGGTGGGCGCGCTGTCGAGGATGCGGAGGTCGTAGGCCCCGGAGCAGCGGTAGTTGGCGGCGGTGCCGTTGTCCCACACCACGACCACCTCCTCGGGGCTCTCGAAGCTGCGCACGGTGCCCACATGGCCCTCGCCGCCATCCTGCTTCCCCCACTTCCAGTCCGGGCCGCGGACCACCCGGGCCCCGACTCCTTCCACCATCACCCGGTTGTTCCGCGAGCTGCTCATCCCGGCGGCGGAGCCCCGGGGCGGATGGAGGGGGCGCGCAGCCCGCAGGCGGCGGAGGGGGACCCCGATGGGGGCGGCTACCTCGGGCGCCGGGCGGGAATCTCCGTCCGGCTCTTCTCCTTGCTCGCTCGCTCGTTCCCTTCTTGCGTTCTTCGCTCCCTACGCGCCCATTCCCCGGCCCCAGCGGCGCCCCCCACCCGCTCCCACCGCCGGCCCCGCTCCCGCCGCTACATCCGGGACCTGCGGCCGCGACGGCGCCGGCTCCAGGGAGACCGGCGGGGCCGCCCCCGCCCCGCCGCGCCTGCGCAGCCGCCGCGGCGGGCGCGTCACTCGAGCGCCCCCTGCGGAGGCGCGGCGGGCACTGCGGCGCGCCCTGCCCGGCTCGGGACTGTGGCGAGGGACGGGCCGGGAGCAGGGAGCGGGCCGGGAGCAGGGAGCGGGCCGGGAGCAGGGAGCGGGCCGGGAGCAGGGAGCGGGCCGGGCTGTGCGTCCCTGCCGCAGCGCTGCCGGAGGCTCCAACAGGGCCCCAGCCCGGCCATTCCTTCGGGAATTGCGGCGTCCTGCCGCCGAGGGCTGTCGCACCGCCCCGCCCGGCCCTGAGGTGATGAGGTGTGGCCGAACCGCCCGCCTCCTTCTCCATCCGCAAGGCGCTCCTATTGCCTATGCTTCAGTGGCAGAGGGATTATCAATTCAATTTTATCAACTAAGTCATGAGTGATCTACCTTAGGTAAACCATCGAATGCTTTGGGCTGGAAGGGTCCTTGATGATCATCTGGTTCCAACCCACCTGCCGTGGGCAGGAACAACTTCCAATAGACCAGGTTGCTCAAATCCCCATCCAACGCAACCTTGAACACTTCCATGGATAGGACATTTCATGAATCTACAATTCTATGATTTCAAACCAGTGTTTTCTCATTTTCGATTTACTACTGTGTCCTCACATCCCACTTTCTTTTCAGACTGTGGATGTGAGGCTTGCGTACTACCGAGATGAGGTTGGTGGGGCCACACTTTTGTACCCAGGAGCATTTTAAGCTGTGTTCAGGTGCTCCAGTCTGCCGAAGGGAGTAATCAGTACCTCCTCCTGCCCTTCCCACCTCAGAGGATCCTTCACAGAGGATCTACTTGCTCAAACTTTGAGCAGATACCTGCAATGTAATTCTTCATAAACTACCCTCTCCGTTAGCACTCTCGTGACACTCAAGGATTTCCTTTAACTCCACACAACCTTGCCAATCTTTTATAGAATGATTCTTCATTTCAAAAATGGTCCTCCATTGCTTTTATCTCTCCTTTTTTTGTGTGTCACCTTTTTAAAAGGCATCTATCCCGAAGGACAGGAAAGTCTGAACCAGACAAAACAAAACCATTTCTTAGTCAACAGGGTTATGGTTAAAAAAAGGCATATCTTATGTTCTGGGTATTTTTACTGGTTTTGTGCTTTCTTCCGCCTTTGTGGTTATCAATACAGCTAGAAGAGTCTACAAGGTCATCTCCTGACTTCTTTTGTGCAGTTTTTTACAAAAGGTAAAACACAGCAGAATAATATGAACATGTAACCACCAGGCCACCACATTCCTCATATAATTTATTCCTTCTAAAACCCTGCTCAGGCTGAAGAATGTTACCTCTAACATGATGTTGTGTCCTGACAATGGGCAATCCCAAGCAATGTCCAGTTTCTGCTCCTGCAGTGGAAACCTCAAAGCCCAACAGATGCCACACAGCTGTCAGGCAGTGTGTGTTTTATGACACATGTTCCTCCTAATACAAAAGCTACCCACAGCTTGTACTAGCTTATTACATTGGTACATGGCAGAATTTCCCAGAAATTCTGGAGGTTTCTTAATATATCAAAGATCTAGCTGGACTCTTGTAGGAATAATATGCCTATCTGCCTCATTCTACTTTTTCATGCTTTGATAGTTATGGACAAGTATAAATTTCACACATGCCTAAGGATAACCCAGAGTATGTTTTTCTATTACTCTGGTACAGATAGATAAAAAAGGCTTTTTGTAATCAGGAAAGGTATTTCTTTTCAGGAAAAGAAACAACTAACGAAGTCTGAGATCAGAATTAGTTCTCCTGGAGAGAATCCAAGAAGTTCATCCCTTACATTAATTATTCCATAAAGACTATATTCTAAATTACAGACCTTAAGAGAATCTGCTGCTGCTGCAGCTCAGCAGCAATGTATGTGGGTAGGTATTATCCTGGAGCTTTTTATCTCCCAATAATCCTTCTGACGACTCATGCTCTATCACAATAACGCGTGCCTCTCCTCCTACTCTACTGCTTTTTCTATCAGATGATTTACTTGCAAAAACCAGACTCTCTAAAGATGGTGGATAATTTCAGAGGTGTCTTAGACACACCAGAGCGTAAGTAATAACTGGAACCCAGTATCTCTTGCGCTGAATGAGACTACTCCCTCAATAGCTAACAGGGAGTTCTTTACCAGCTCAAAATACTTGTACGACTTTATTTGAGTGGAAGAAAATGAAGGCTGGATAGACTGGGCTGATGTATTCACATTCCAGTGAGTACATGACTAATTTTTGCACTCTAATCTCCCATTAGTAATTTCTACTCCTATATGCCCACAAAGTTGTGGAAGGTGCAAAATCGTCATTGGCTACATTATTCAATTTTCCAGAATCCCAAATATGTTATTATATTGTCTCTTTGAATCATACTTTATATTCCATATTCTGTGCTCCTGTTTAACCAACTAGTAAAAAGATATTTAGCTCTTGAATATTTTATTTGAATTAGCCTTCAAAATAAGCAGTAAATGCTGTTTTCAGGTGGAGATTTAAAAAGTGACATCAGGGCACAGAAAAATAATATAGCTTTGGGGAAAGATTTTCAAGTTTTGTTGGACAGTTAAGTGGTCCTATCTTGATATTTTTCTGGTATCAGCCACAGCATTTGTGGCTAGAATAATAAGCAAGAAAACCTAATTCTGAGTAAGGACCAGAAGACTACTGGAGACTCACAGAAGGGTGTCAATAGAAGAATCAGTATGTAATAGCAAGAGGAAGAGAGAACTTTAAATTTGGAAAAAAATATAAATAAAACAAGCAAAAGTATAAAAATATAAAGATTCCATAGAAATTTGGATCCAATTGACATATTGTGACAAGAAAAGTGACAGACACCACATTTTCAGATATGTGTCATCATTTTCTTTAGAAGCTGGGAAACTAGCTACAGTAACACCTTAAGGGAAGAATTCATATTCATTTTTCAGCTGAAAAAAAAACCCTTGTTGGCTTAAGGCCTTTTGTGAGGCAGGAGGTGTTAGCTCCTTGGCTGGCTGGTTGTACACAAAATAAATTCACGTGGATTTGCAGTTGTTTCCAACAACTCTCTGGTCCTTCCATAGGACTGTTTTCTTCTCCTGATGTATGCTGAGAGCTTCTCGTATCTCCTGAACTTGAATTTGCCTCTAATTGCACAGAACAGCCATTTTACAGAAAAGAAGAGAAGGGAGAAGAGATGAGAAAGAGAAAGGAGAAGGCAAGAGAAGAAAGAAGAAGAAGAAAGAAAAGAGATGCAAGTTTCTTACCTTCCATTTTCAAATTGCTCTGCATATATGAGGAGAGGAGTACTGTTGGTGACCAGTAACCAGCCAGATGTGACCCCATTCACCACAACCATGAAGCCCTTTTCTTCAGCCAGTTCTTCACCTAGTGCATTGTGAACTGGCTCATCCCATGTTTGGGTAACTTGTCCAAAAGGATGATGTGAGGGACAGTATCAAAAGCCTTACTAAAATCCAGAAAAACTGTATTCACTGTCTTCCCTTCAACCACTGGATTTGTGACTGTATCATACCAATCTTGTTAAACAGGACTGTCCCTTGTGAATCCATGTGCTCACACTAGAGGTAATTTATCAGTCCTCAGATTGTGTGGGAAAATGCCACCTAAACCCTCAATACTAGAATTGGCAGACAATTTATTTCTTTGCTTTTCAGGTCTAGAATCTAAAAATTGCACTTATAACCCCCCTCAAACCTAGAACCAGTAGAAGAATGGCACTATGGGTTTTTTTCCCACTATTCTGACTGGCAGAGCAGCAATGCCTAAAACTGCTGCATCGGGAGCAACGTTAATCTGTGAAAGGCTTATTTACAATGTTGCTGGCCCTGTGGGAGAGCACTTGCTTTGAACACCTCAGGTAGTTGTGGCAGAGCAGTTGAATCACAGGCTGGAGGAAGGGAATCCACAGTGCTTTAGGCAAACTCTCTCTAATTGCAAAAACTCAATCATATTAATCCAGTGCAGGAGTTCGGATGCTCAAAATGATCTAGTGAACAAGTTCTCTTCTGGCTGCCCAAAATTATGTATATTTGCTGAGTCTATCCCCCAGCTGGTGAAAATGTTCTTCCTCACCACTTTCTGCCATACTGGGGCAATCCAGTAAGGAGTCAAGAGAGAAGACCTCTGGCTTGTGCAGAATCCAGTGCTTGCATACCCTGTAGCCTCCTTGGTTTTGTTGGAAAGAGAACACTTTATTAAGAGTGACTTTCTCTAAGAGCAGCTGCCACCCTTCTGAAAGGTAGGGCAACTCCCAAGACAACTCTTGTAGAGTCACAGGAAATAGGACTTCGGAGAACATCCAGCCCATGCTCCTGCCCATCAAAGCCGTCAAGAAAGCTGTTTGTCTAAACTCTGCCTGGCTGTCTTTCAGATCTGCAAAATGTCATGCTCCAGGAGGAAATTCTAATGTAAGTATTTGCCTGGATTGAAGAGAGGCATTGATGGAAGTTTTTCTGGACTGTCTTGTTTGATCAAAGCTGAACTTGCAGTGTAGTGTCAGGAACACAAAATGGAAACAGACCACAGAAAGGGAACTGTGCTATCTGGAATACAGAAAGGGAACTGTGCCTTTTGCAGGAAAGAATTCCATATGAAAGACTTGCTTTTACACATGTCAGAAGAAAAAAAAAATATCTCGACTTTTTGGAAAGACAATTTTTAACTTGTAGAATTGGAAGGTTTCATTTACTATCTTGCACAAATCCTGAGTTCTTAGAAGTTGTCACATGAAGGAAATATATATAAATAGCTGCCTGTAAGTTGAGAAAGAACATCTAGTTTGGATACAATGAGCAGATTGCAGTTTTCTTTTTAAATTACAGAGATAGAGCTTATTAATTTATACTGCTTTGAGTCGAAACATTCAGCTTCCTTAGTTCAAGACTATTTTGGAACAAGCACAT